CGGCCCGGGGTCGGCGAAGCCGCTTCGCCAACAGTGCTTGCTCGCATCCCCCTCAGTGCGCCGAAAGCCGCCCAGGCGACGGCCACCACCCCCTCTGCCCTCCCAGTCCCTGGGGAAAGTAACCAGTGGGAGAGATGACGGGTCGCCAGAGTTTATTACAATAAAGCAAATGGAGGAGTAATTGCAGCAAACTGAATCTGCCACATACTTAGCGCCCTGAACAGCCACCTGGAGAAGGCCCTGAAGGCAGGAGGAGCCCTGGCTGCAGCAGCAGGGCAGCTGAGGAAAGCCCCGGTCACCGGAGGGAGGCCCTCCGTCCCCTCAGCGCTCATTCCCGTGTCACTGCTGGTGCTTCCCGCCTCGGCCCCGCCACCCTTGGGGCCAGCCTGGAGGCGGGGAGCGAGGGCGAGATTATTCTCTGCCCGCAGAGAATGGCACTCATTCCCCAGCAGCTACAAAGCTGGGGAGCTGGAAAGAGACAGCCTTTTCGGGCACAGCCAAAACATCCAAGCCTACACGCTGGAGAGCCCTGGGGGACCTTGTTCCCTGGGTTTAACCGTGCCCCCGTTCCATGTCAGGGTGCAATGTCTCTGTCCCTGCCCTTATGCTCCAGCAAGGCTGTGCAGGGAGCTCAGATGCAACACAGCTCGGAGGAGTCTGATGTTCCAGGGAGAGCTCACAGCAGGCTCAAGGTGGTGTCCAACTGTTCCAGAAACCCTCCCAGCAGGGAAGCTCCACCGTCAGACAAGGAAGTTCTCAGGATCTCCCAGAGCTCGGTGCCAGGGCTCCATAGCCTGCACTGCACATGAGAAAAAAAACTAAATAGTCCTGCTAGTCCTTCCTGAGCCCCAAATCTACAAATCCTTCCCCACCTCACTCCCCCCCTTTCTATTCTTGTGGTTTGCACAGTGCTGCTGCTTCGCTAGCCTGTCAGTGGCCACAGAGGTACAAGCGTGAGACCGACTGTGCTGGCTCAGGCCAGGGGCCACACAGCCAGCAGTGGAGGCCCGCACAGAACCAGAGCAGATCCAGAGGTGCCGCTCCCCCACTCCCAGCACCCACAGCTAGGAACCAGAGACAGAGAAACTGTGCATTTAACAGCATCTGGTGATTTGTCCTTCCAGGCTCAGAGCCTTATAGAAATGCAGGTAGATTATATCGATCACATCACCTTGTAGTGACCAGAGCACCCCTCCCAGCACACGTTCTCCTGTGCCAGGCAGGTCTGACAACACACAGGAATGGGCAGAGAGCCCAGTTTTCACTTCAATAAGTCACCTTGAGCTACTTGGGATTTATGATGCTGCAGCAAACAGAGCAACACCACCAAATACTTACTATAGCAGAGAGGGGTGGGGGGAAAAAGGAAAAAACCAAAGAAATAGCTACTCTTGCAGGGAGCTGAACAGCACAGTTACACACACAGACCAGCTCCCAGGACCCCTCCACCCACACACAGAACAGAAAGCCCCACAGCAGGCGACACCGCAGCAGGATCCACAGCCAGCCCAAGCAGCTGCGATGAAGTGGATGGAAATGTCCCATGCCCAGTCAGGAAGACATACTTCCCTCGGGCTGCTCTCCTCACGCGTAGGTCCAGTGCTCGGCCGTGTCCTCCCAGCAAGTCAGCTCCTCCGGGCGGAACCAGAGGGAGATCTCCTGCCGGGCGCTCTCAACCGAGTCGCTGCCATGGATCACATTCCTGTGGGGAAGAAGAAAGGGATCAGCCGGGACTAAGCAGAGAAAGGCAGGAGAGGGAAGCTGCAGTTGGAAAATTTCATCTTGACAAATTTAATTAAACCGATTGAGCCAGTCACATCCTACAATATTCTTTCCCACTGCACAGCCCTCCTCCTTCCAGCTCAGGGGGTTTGTGGTTATGCTGAACACGGCTTAGGTCATGGATGTGCAGGAGCTATCAGTTCCCAGCACTCCTTCCTCCTATGATGAGGTACCATTTGTTTGCTACAGGAGGAGCTGCAAGCGGCTGTTGATCTGGGGTTTGCCTTGGTTTTATGTCAGTAATTCAAGTTTTGCCTCCAGATTTCCCTCCTTCCTCCTGTCAAAGCAGGTCCTATGAAGCAGGTTTGGTATCAGACACCATGGAGCAGAAAGTTCAATAAAAAGTGGTGTCTACCACAAGCCAGGCTGCAGCCACCCAAGGTCACAGCCAGTGGATATTCACCAGCAAAGAGCCCTACTGCACGTAGAGCTCCTGCTTGGCTTTTCTTACAGACTCGGATGCCCAGTGGAGCTACGGCAGCTCTCCAGGTGCCCTGCTCCCCCAGAAAAGGGCTGAGATGGCTCCTCCCTTCTTCCTCTTCACAGCCTGACAGTCCTGATTCCCCAGAGCAAAAGACAAGGAAACCCCCATCTGCTTTCAACAGAGAAGGCCTCAGGGTGCAGGAAAGACACAAACCCAGCAGGCTCCTCCTTCTGGCAAAACCAACCCCAGGAGACAGAGGTCAGCACCTCCTGCTAGGGAGATGGCTCTGCTCTGAGCACAGAAGGGAAAAGCAGCTACGCTCTGCGGATGCAGACTTGCATGCCTCAGGCAGGCCTTGAACAGGAATGAACAGACTGGATGCCCTGAAACACTGAGGGAAGAAAAAGCCAAAGCTCTCACTTGCTGACTTCAATGCAGAAGTCTCCTCGGATAGTGCCAGGCCTGGATTCAGCTGGGTTCGTCTCTCCAATCATGGTGCGAACTGTCTTGACCACATCCAGGCCCTGCCAGACCTATGCGACAGTAAAACAAGAATCAGCTTCCACAACTCCCCCAGCAGATCCTACTGTCTGTCCTCTAAATTCCCCAGCTGATCCACCTGGATGAGAGACAGGAAAGGCTCTCTCTCTAAATAGGCTTCAAAAGTTGATTTTTGGAAAATGATCAGGACTGTCTGTGGATTTCATTCACCGCAGCAAACGCCCCTGCAGTTCAGCACAGCTTCAAGAGGCCCTCTGAAGAGGGAGACCACCTCGCTGCCATCGTACCACAAGCCAACGCCGCTAATACTTTGTGCTTACTTTCTGTGCCTTGGTTCAGGGAGAACCGGGCCAGCACTCACCATGGCCACCACAGGCCCAGAGCTCATGTACTTCACCAGACGGCTGTAGAAGGGACGGTCACGAAGGGCGATGTAGTGCTCTTTCAGAAGCTCCTCCGAGGCCTGAGCACAAAGAACACAAAGCTTAGTCTGCTCTCAGCAGGGGGGGGAATTGGGCAAGGTCTACACCCAAGACATGGAGTTAAAGCTGGAGAGCGCATGTTACAATCAAGCTCCTGCACAGACGCTCACTTCCAGGAGGGAAATGGCCTTGCTTTGCTGAAGCCTGACACAGGGAGGGGAGAAGTTTCTAGGTTCGAGGAGCAACACTAGCCAGCTTAGAACAGCCACTATGAAAGCTCTGGAGCATAGACACAGCAAAGGGCAGGCATGTTCCCCACAGCAGGAAGCTCTCCTGCAGAAGCAGTTTAGGCACCTGAGTGCCAGCACCCCTCTGACCTGCGAGGATCTGGTGCCCAAATGACAACAGCAGGCTATACAAGCTGGGGCACCGACAGAAAAGTCCCTGGCAGTCACCAGCAGAGCCGGGGCCGCCGGGGCCG